GGGAGGATGGCGAGGCGGGGATCCAGCCCATTCGCACTAATGTCTCTGCGTTGCCTCCGTCAGGCGAGAAGCCCTTCAGGTGCGAGTTCGAGGGCTGTGAGCGCCGCTTCGCCAACAGCAGCGATCGCAAGAAGCACTCTCACGTGCACACAAGCGACAAGCCCTACACGTGCAAGGTGCGCGGCTGCGACAAGTGCTACACGCACCCCAGTTCGCTGCGTAAGCACATGAAGGTGCATGGGCGTTCGCCGCCGCCGCCCAGCTCCGGATACGACTCGGCTACACCTTCTGCCCTTGTGTCGCCCTCGTCGGACTGCGGCCACGAGCCCCCGGTGGCCTCATCGGGGGGGGTGGGGGGGGGGGGGGGACGCATGTTTTTTGTGCCAGGGAGCGGGCCCCACCGCGGCTGTCCCCGCCGCGCCACCCAGTTCGGCGCCACCACCTGGCCTAGCTGCTGCCGCCGCCGCCTCCGCCTCCAGTGTTAGGGCTGACTCTGTGGTTGCTCCAGCCAACTGACGGCCAGTCTAGGCCGGGTTGCTAAGACTTGACGAGAGCACAAGGATGGATGGAAGGATGGAAGGAACGAAGCAAGGATGGAAGGCCTTTGCCAAGGGTCCCTACTATTTTCCTCATTGCATGTACTGATACCATGTCCGTTACTCCAAAGCATAAATCTGGTTCCCAATGAATTCCAATCACCAGCACCCCCACCTCTACACGTGCCTGTATGACTGGATAGTGTGGACGGAAAAGACAGGCAGGTGGAGAAAGAAGGCAGGAGAATGTATGTGCAGTCCTGGCAACTGCAGGTGGCAATAGTAAGGCCTCAGGTCCCAGCGTGGCTCACAGAATGGGAGATGCTTCCTCCAGGCCTGGGCCGCTCCCATCCCCACTACCTTTCCAGTTCCCACAGGGGGCATTTCACTCCTCCCCATTAATCCCAACGTCAAATCTGGGAAGTTCAGTTGAAGAAGGTGGTGGAGGGAATTCCAAAGCCATTTTCTTGCCTGCTTGCTTTTTTTTTTTTCCCTTCCTACACCTTTCTTCCCCTTAGGTATCCTTCAAAACAAAAATACACAATTGGTAAATTTTCCAACCCCCTCTATAAAGATGGTAGGAATGGATCCCTTCTTTCCCATGAGAGTTGCTTGTCCCCACCACCCTTCGACTGGCCCAAGTAGACAGACATATGTGTCCGCCATTCTGTCTGCAGACTCAGTATATATATATTGTGTACTTGGGATAAGGGATGTGTCCAAAACAACAGGAAATGCAGACAAAGGAGTGCCAGAGAGGCCGCTGGAAGAATGCCATGAAGCCTCCAGGGACTGCTTTCCCTTCCCCACCAGGTCTAGGTGCTGCCTGTGGAATCTTGTGGGTGCTTCCGGTGGGGGGGTTCGGAGCAACCAATAAGTCTCTGTGGAGACCTCCACCGGAAAGACACCTGACCTAGGCCTGTGTCTGGGTGAACCGAGTCAGTTCTGGGATGGTCTTTATCCAAAATCACACAATGTTCCTTTTACTTTAATTTTTAAGATGAGGAGGCAAGAGAAGTGACCTGCAATAATAAATATTGTAAAGGCAAAACTCCAATGGGTCTAGGTCGAATGTGTATTTAATACTGGGTATGAAGTCCCAGAAAGGAGAACCAGAGGTTGGGGGCGGGGGAGAAGACACTTTTGACATTGTTGCCAAGGCGGGGCAGGAATTAGGACCTACCCCCTAGTCTGCCAGCCTCTGTAGGGGGGATGGGAGGGCTCCAAAATCTTAACCAAGATTTGAAGAACGATAGTTTTGAAAGGTGAGAAAGAAAGAGAGAGAGAGAAGAAGGAAGGAAGGAAGGAAGGAAGGAAGGAAGGAAGGAAGGAAGGAAGGGAGGAAGGGAGGAAGGATGGGAGGGAGGGGAAGCTTTGTCAGACCCATCCTGTTTTCCTCAAGATTTTGGAAATGATTGTGTGTGTGGGGGGGGATAATTCCCCCTGGAGGGGACCCCCTAAAACCCTCATTTGAAAAGCTGACCCCAGCAAACTAGTCCCAGGCCCACCATTCTGTCGAAGTTTCTTCTACCTTCTTTGGACACCATCAGACAATCCTCACTCCTGCTCCACAAGTCCCACAAGTTCCAACAGTTAAAGTAATGTTCTAACTAGAGCGGGAGTGTTTTCTTTGCCACCAGTAAATACCAGAATCTTACAAATACTATATGCTAGTGAATTCATCATTCGGGAAGGGGGATTGTAACCCCCCATACACACCCCCCCACACACACACACACATAATACAGTAAGGCCCAGGGTCTGGTCAGCCAACAGCAGACACCTCATTCCCATCATGAAACATCAGCCTCATGGCGAAGGTGCTGGGGCCATCTAGGGAACTTGCTGCTTCGGCCCATGTTTGAAAAGGAGCCCCCTCCAAATAAGACTTCTTTCTCTTTCTAGCCCCCCTCCCCCATTTTGTCTTCCACCCCAACTCAAAATAATGAAATAAAATAAAACTGTTTGGTCGGCCATTAATCGCCTTTAATTTTTCATTTGCTTGTTACAGATGTCCACCGCGTTGCTCGCAAGGTAATCTCGCCCCGCGCAGCTGAGCGCCGTATCTCGCGCCTGCGACATCAAAGGGCCCGCGCACAAAGCAGTGTTTCTTCGCCACGGTGCATCTTCATGGTAAGTTAGGATTTCTATGGCAATGGGCAAGTCTCACTGAAATCCTGAAAGGCCAAGCCTGGAGCCCGTCCAGGCTTTTCATTAAGGACATAATATTTACGTCTAACAGGCCTTTTTTCTTGTGTATACAAGTATATATTTTTGTTTGACGCGGACTAAATCATTTTCATTTAATTTCCGGTAAACAAAACCCACGCGAATGGGCACTTGTTCCCGATCATAATAAAAATGGATAATAATGTGAGGGAAGAAAAGGGCCGCTTGAATCGCCGCTCAGCCCCCTTTGTTTCTGCTTTCTGCGGTGATCAGAGGGCGCATTTGGGTTTGATGGCGAGTTTCTAAAGGCGAGGAAATGGTTTGTAAGAGGGGAAAGAAAAGGAGAAAGGTCTAATCAAGCTCGGGTTGTTCAAAGAGTCGGGTTTTGGGGTTGAAAGTGTGAGTTTGACGGTGCATCAGCATGCCGCGTTAGGCTCGCCATGGAAATGCGCGCGGGGAGCGGCCGCTTCAAAGGCGGCACACTTCACTGCAGACACTCTATTAAGATACATTTGTGCTGACCTTTGCTTTCACGCCATTTAATACTGTCACTGGGCTCTCCAGTGTATACTTCCTCTCTAGGACTGCCTCGCCCAGGTTTAGGGGTTCACCCTATGCCCTAAGTGGGGGGCTTTGGCACCAGGGAGGCTTTGGCACCAGGGAGGCTTTGGGGGAAAGGCAGGAGTAGTACTCAGTGCATTAGGACTTCCACCCGAGAGGCTCCAGGTCAGGAGTAAGTGACTTTTCCGAGGGCGCCTCAGAAGTTTAGCAAATGAGCGTCCCAAGCTCAATTTTGTGCAAAGCACGTCTGCATCTTGAGCGGGAGGAAGGCTTGAATTTGGTGGAGACTGGGAGAGGAAGGGAACTACCCTAAAGGAGCCTAGGGAATTCAGACCCTGTGGTTGATCATTTCCACTCTGGCTTCCTGCACCATCCCTCCATCCCACAAGTCTCTCCTGCAGCCTCCTAAACTTGTTTCCCCTAAGGGCAGAGTGAATGGTACCCTCAGGCCTGGGCTGGCCCTAGGCACCAACTCAAGAGCCCAAGGCCAAGGGGATGGGGAAGATGGCAGGAAAGTTAGAAGTCCATGTTCCCTTAATTGTCTTGTTGTTTATTTTATCCAAGTACCCTAGTGAATAGGGGAAAAATAAACATGATGAAAAAAAATCAAACAGTGGAGTCTTCTTTAGTGCCAGTCCTTGTGGTTGAATAAAAAGGATGGTCCGCTTTCTATTGAGCTGAGAAATCTTTGAAGTGGGAGTTATTATCTGAGACATTCCT